CACATTTTCAGGTACCTGTTGCCCATTCGTATGTCTTTGGAGAAATATCTATTCAAGTCTTTGCCCATTTTTTAAAATCAGATTATTTGTACCTTTGCTATTGAGTTGAATGAATTTCTTATCTATTTTGGATATTAACTTTTTAAGATATGTAGTTTACAAATATTTTCTCTCATTTTGTAAGTTGCCTCTTCACTTTGTTGATCATTTCTTTCGCTGTGCAGAAACTTTTTAATTTTATATAGTACTACTTGTTTATGTTTGGCTTTATTGCATATGCTTTTGGAGTCATATTCAAGAAAATGTCAAGACCAATGTCAAGCTTTTTCCTCCTTTGTTTTCTTCTAGGACTTCTGTTGTTTTAAGTCTTACATGTAAGCCTTTACTTCATTTTGAGTTAATTTTTTTAAGGTAAGAGTCCATTTTCATTCTTTGGTGTATGACCATCCAGTTTTTCCAACATCATTTATTGAAGAGTCTTTCCTTTCCCTATTTAATATATTTGGTTCCCTTATCAAGTACTACTTGATCATATATGCAGTTACTTCTGGACTTTTGGTTCTGTTCCATTTGTCTATGTATCTGTTGTTATTGCCAGTACTATACATTTTTGATTACTAAAGCTTTATAGTATAGTTTGAAAGTATGATGCCTCTAGCTTTGTTCTTCCTTCTCAAGATTGCTTTGCTTTTTAGGGTCTTTTCTGGCACCATGTGAATTTCAGGATTTTTTTCTATTTCTGTGAAAAATGACGTTGGAATTTTTGTAGGAATTGCATTGAACCTATAGATGGCTTTGGATAGTATGGACATTTTAATAATATTAATTCTTCCAATTTATGAAATTGTTAGTTACTTCTGTTTGTTTATTTACTACAAAGATACCTGTAAAATTGTTATTTTTGTAACTTTCTTAATTATATTAAAGTTCAAAATTTCAACTGTGGTGTATCCAGTATCTTTTTTTCCTCTTTTTAAAATGATTTTGCCTTGTATCTAATGACCTCTTTTAAAAACACAAACCTTTTTTCAACTCAGAGAATTATTATTATTGTCAAATCAATTATTGTTTCTTATAGCTTGTTTTCCTCAAAAATTTATATTATATTTAATATTGTAGTTCTCAGTCCAACATTGTCTTTTGTTATTTATTTCATCCTTTTCCTGGTAAATTCATTATCATTTTATTAGTTTTTTTCTTAGCTCATTTATTGAACATATATTTATTAAGGACCTGCCCTGTATCAGAGCACTGGGGTTTAAGGATGAACATCTCAGATGTAAAGCCCACCTTTGTAGAATATAGCTTTAGTGAGAAAAGCATACATGGAGTAAGCAATTTTAAGAGCTCTACAGAGGAAGTTCTTTAAACTGGGATTTGTTGGTTACCAAGCCATTGTCTCCCATCTCTAAAAACCGCTGGTTCTTTATTGGTGAAGCTTTTTGCTGAAACTCCCCTTGCCAGATCCTGGCTCCCTGTAAGGTTCCACCTGTAGAGGGCGCCAGACAAGACTGGATGGTGGATGCGGGAGAAGGAATACCTTTTTCTGTTCATTTTCTGTTCCTGTCAGCATTACTCCAACAGAGTTTCTTATCTTGGAAGTAGCAGTTGCTTCTTATTTCCAGCTTATTTTTTTCAAATGCTTCCAAACCAGCTTTATTATGTGTTGCCCCCTTACCCCATCCCCAGCACCAGTCTGAGGTCTGGGTCTTGACTCCTTGGTACCCTGCCTAAATTCCCAGGTGCCAGCCCGGACACCCAGTAGCTTCTCTTGTACATTTGATCCCTCTTTAAGCTCTAACCCCACCTTTTTCCTTTGTTTGCCCATCTCCCATTCCTAGGGTGGGACCTGCTTCTTACAGTTACCCTTTTGCCTTTTTTGTCCTCCAATTCTGTACATTAATGTTTTCTGTTAAAACAACTGGTGTGCTTACTGTTTTACCACCTGGATCCAGACTGATATACCTGTCTTCTGTTTCATTAGGTCAGTTTTCTGGAGTATTCAGCATGCTACTTACCATCTCTATGATACATATTCTACTAATTCAGCAGGGGTTTTTTTCTCCTGAATAAGTGGCAGTTTTCTTGATCTCAGATGTTATCCTATTTATAACTCCTGACTCTAGATTCTTAGTTCTATTTCCTTTCGACTTTAAAGAACGTGAATTACAAGTTATCCAAAAATGCTTCTTGTTTCTTACCTTAAGAGGAAGCCGTTTAATTTCAGTTCTGTTTTGTCTCCTTCATTGGTGGTATAATTCTTTTTTTGTGGCTAGAGATGTTTTGCCTACAATTAGAAGTTGTATAGGTTCCTGTCTGAATTTTTCAATCCTCGAAACTAACATAGGTGATAAAAGTGTTTAATTTGCCAATTTAGAAACTAATTAGATTGGGTGACCTATGTTGAGAAATCAGAGAAAGAGGTGGAAGCACTTACCTCTGAGTCTGAGTTTGTTTCCATAGTTTTTATATATTTATTAGCTAGCTGAAATTTGTCTGGTGTAATTAGAAATGCCAGTGTTCCTGCCACCAGTATTATGTATAGGCCAGGTCTTGGTGAATCTTGGGTTTCTCACTTGGTGTATTAGCCGGTGCTCTGAGTGGCTCTGTTACGAGTTGGATTCAGATATATGACAACCCAGTTGTTCCGTAACCCACTGCCCTACTCCATTGCCCTTAATCTTTGTATCTCCTCGGGGTGTTCATATGCTTCTTGTTGGAACTCTTCCAGTGATTTCAAATGTCATTTGGGCAGAGCAAGAGGTTGGGTGGATCCCCTCTTCAATGTGATCCTGGCTGTACGAGATCTGGAAATTTCTCAGTTTCTTGTTTATGGTCAATACCCATTTCTACATCCCAATGTCAATACAGGATTTTCTTTATATATATGTATATATTTAATTATTCTATTTTATTGAGTAGTTGAGAATGGGGAGGCAAAATGACTCCGCTCTAATTATCTTTTCATCTGCCAATATACTTAATGCAGTGGAGTGTGGAGGTAACCATCAACTACGCATTTTTGTTACCTTTTCCATTTCTGTTGAACAACAACAAAAAAATAGAAGAAGATAAAATAGAAATTCCCACTGTTAGTTTTTTGTGCTTCATCTGGTTGAATATAGATTATTTGATATAGCCATCATTTAGCAGCCCTGAGTGAGACTTCCTTTAGAAAACAAAGCAATCAAGGAAAAGAAAAAAAGAAAAAAAAAAGGCAAACAAACCAAACAAAATTTGCCACAAAAAACGCAGCCCTTTTCATTAGCAAACTGATGTCTTGTTTTAGTCACTCACACTCTATGGCAGACTAATTTTGATACAGTCCTGATAAATAAATGAGTCATGTGCAAAAGGGAGAGAGCAAAGGAGAACTTATGGTAAAATTGTGTAGGAAACATGAGATTTTTTCATTCTGGAGTTTACTCGCAATCCCTTCATTCACAGTTTTGTCATCAGTTACATGACTTTCATCATAGTTGAAGTCAGAAATTCTGAATCATAGGGTCTGTGTCAATATACAGATCTCCAGTAGAAAGAAGCTGGCTTTACAGTTTGGGGGACAGCAGAGAAATGGGAAGATGGATCCTGCCATCTGCTTGCAATGCAAGTCTTTTTAGAATCTTTTGCCTCGTACACGCATGAAGATCTCAGTATATAGCACTACTGACAAAAGGCATCGGTTGCCTCTGGGAGAGAAAACATTAAGAGTAAAATTCAAAAGAAAGCGAATACATGAATTGCTGTGCTTGTTATTCATCGAGTGTTTTTGACTTGCTAAAAGCAAGTTTAATGTATTTATAAAATTTATAAAGATGTAACTGATTCTGGAGCTCTGCTCTTTACAGGGAACATATTTCATGTTATTGTAAGCACTGAAGAAAATTAAATCAATAAATCCACAGCCTGTAATTTGAAATACTCAGTTGAAGAAAAATACATTGTCAGGGAGGGAGGGGGAAATCATTTACATTGAGAAAGACTTGTAAAACTGTCTTTGCTCTGCTACCCCCAGCTTTCAAATGATAGCAAGAATTAAGCTTATGCTTAAAATTATCAAAGTGTTGTTATGACACCTCAAAAGCATCAAAGGTCAATTCCCACTGTTGTTAATGAAGCATGTGCTCAAGTGGAAAGCCATGCAAATGAATTTCTTTGAAACTGTCCCTGTGTCTTTTCCCTGAGAAAGCTTTGCTGGCTAGCAGTCAGACTGGATGTCAAGAAGCTTGGTGAATTTTTCCCCATCACTAGCATTGATGCTCTCTGTGACCACTGGCGGGCCAATTAACCTCTCCAAGTGTCTCTCTTCCACGTATAAAAGGTTAATAGTGCATCTTGTTTGCAGAATGCCTCGAGCCTTCCACGAAAGGCACTACACAGATACCCGGCATTAGTATTGGAATGGAGGGCGTTGTATTTTTTAATTATATGTTTGGTTGGGTAGATTATAGATTTTGTTGTGGTTCAGTGTCGCCCCTTCTCCCTGGTTACAAATAAAAGACTAATAGGTAATCTCATTCTATTACCATCTTCTAGAGCCCCCTAGAGGGTTAAGGAAATGGCAGAGGTTACAGATTAATAGTGTATTCATTAGTTAATAAAAAAAAAAAAAAATCATATGCATCTCAACTGCATAATAGCTGTGGATAGCAATTTATTAATAGGCCAAGTGTTTCATCAGTTGCTAAGCAGATAATGCTGGCAAAGACTCATGAAATGATGAGTTTTGTTGGGGTTTTTTTTTTCCTGCTCCCCAGTAAATCTTTTATCCTTCACATCAGTATACAGCATTGGGAACAGTTTTGTTAAGGTTTATTTTAAACGAGCTTGTTGTGCATATTTGGGGAAATAATTCTTTTATTGTGGAACTTCTGAAACAAGTGACTTTTTTGTGTGTATATAGGTTATGACAGTAAGCACGCTATTTTATTGTATTTGGAGCAAATGTGAATAATTCTGGCCCTAGAGCAAAGTATCATACTTCTCACACTTCTCTGCAGATTTACGGAAGAACTTTGAACAAGATCCGCAGGGGAGGGAGGTTCCCATTGAAGGCATGATCGTGCTGCACTGCCGCCCACCGGAGGGAGTCCCTGCTGCTGAGGTAAGACAGACTCTTGGGACCTGGCCTGTTCCCAAGAGTGGGGCAGAGTCCTGTGTGGTCATACATGAAGTGAAAGAGCCACTGTCTGGCATTCTTGTTGTCTGGACTCAACTGATAAAGATGATGAGGAAATTGTGAAGGAAGGATGTTGGAAGAGCAAATTGGCTCCTGTCTACTTTCTTGTTGACACTGAGCTCTTGCTAGGCAGCCTGAATAGGATTTGGTCTGTGTTCTTGCTTTCGGTGACCTCAGATCACACAGGTGGCATCTTCTGTGTTCTCAGTCAGTTACCTTGGGCATTCTGATATGCACATGGCTTATGGATCAATCTGAGCTCTAGCAAACAAAGTCATGTAAGTGGCCAGAGAAGGAGGGACGGCCCTAGTGTTAAGTGCAGTGGTGTTTGCACTTACTCATTCTTCATGGGACACACATTCAGTGAGCACTTATTATGTGTTAGGCACTGTGCTGGCATGAGGAATAGAAAAAGTGGTGAAGCCACAGGTCTTTGATCTGTTATCCTTTCTTCACAGTGAGGCATCTAGAATCCAGAGTCACTGGATTCTGGATTTTTTATTCCTTGAGTGTTTTCTAGATCTTCTGCCATAATTTTAGACTATAATTGTCAGTTATAGGACACAGTGGTAATAGAGAAGGCTTTCTAAATCTTCCAGTCACCATTAAAAGATGTTCTGATAGACCTGTCATACAGTTATTAAGATAGTATTGGCAGGAGGGTGGGAAACTCAGAAGTATAAGGAACGCTTAGTAAACATAGGCCTGAGTTAAGCAGTAGGATAGTCCAGTTGTGGCTCTTCTCTGGGAAGCTAGGAAACTGTCCTTAGAGCTATAGTTTATTCACTGAGAAGTAGAAGTGTTGAAAACAAAACAAAACAAAGCAACAGGAGACTCTGCTTCACATTTTAGCTAAAATTGCTGTGGGATTTCGTCGTTGGAAGAACAAAGGAGTGGAGAAAATAAAAGGGAATGAAAAGGCACACACACTTGCATATTTAGACAGAAAGCGTGCTGGGTGGACACTATTCAAAGCTCAAATGGTTCACAGAAATGGAGTAAACGGACTTGAAAATTAAAGTGCATTCTATGCATGATGTGAAATGATTAGAAAGGAAAACCCTTATTTTTTAGATTTTTATTTAATGTAAAACAAAAAGATACTTGATTTTTTTTTTTTTTTTTTTTTTTTTTGCTGCCACCTTTTTCCTTCCAGAGTGAGCCCTAGTTTCCTGAGCAGGGGCTGACAGGCAGCAGGGCGTTCAGTGCACAGGTAAATGTGTCAGTCTCATTTAGGACACCCCGAGAGCTCCTGGGAGTCTAATTTGGGTATCAGCAGTTCACTGCATTTGCTACCCATCTCTCAAAATCCCAATTTAAAATGTTTCATGCATAAAAATGCCTCACCTATGTCGTACGGCCAGGCTTCCTTCCAAGCCTGTGCTGGGTCACCACCTTCAGCTTTGGCTGCATATGAGAAGAGTGAAGTGGAGAGGAGGGTCACGTTTTATTAGCTGTCTGCTTGTGGGAACCTAATGTGTTTTAGATGTCTAGTAATCATTTTTACAGTTGGAAGAGAACTTTGATATTTACCTGGCATAGCCTTTGCGTTTTAGAGGCAAGGAAACATGCTCAGATCAATGACCTACTAGAAGTCTTGCAGCCATTTAAAGTCTAACTCTATTCAAAATCTTTCAAAAATTCCCCAGATCACTTGGGATATAAGTCTTTGTTCTTTTGGTGCCTTACATGATCCAAAATAATTTGTCCCACTGTTACCTCCGACCTCATCTGCTACTCTGCATCTGACCCCCTTGCAGCCACACTGGCCTCCTCACTGTTCCTCAGCTGCACCGGCCACGTTTACACTTCAGGGCCTTTGTACACAAGGGCCCCGCTGCTAGAACGCTCTTTCCCAGCTATCGCTTCATCTCTTCCTTTTGGGCGGGCTCAAGTGTCACCTGCTCCACGAGGCCTGTTCTGGACACTTTGTTGGAAGTGTGACCTCCTCACCCCACACACAGACATTTAAACTCCACTCTCTGCTTCATATTTTCTCCTTAGCTCTTATCACAAACACACTATTATATTTACTTAGCTTATTTTCTGTCTATTCCACTAGAATTTAAGCTCCATGAAGGATATTTTATTTTTTCTATCGCTGTATCCCCAGAACATTAAACACTGCTTCTCATATCCAGATGCCCGATAAATATTTGTTGGCTATGAATAAAAAACTAGTTTCCTGCCTATATTGATGAATATTTGGGGTAATATCAGGACCTTCCCCAGACAGAACTGTGAAACCCATTAGACTTTTGGGTTTTTTTTTTTTTTGTCTTCCATTCTGATAGTAACAGGTGAATAAAACATTCTCCACCTGCTCTTTGAAGACATACATACATACATATACACATGTATACATATATACATACATGAGAAGGAAAAAGGATGTGCATTCTGGTAAGATAATAACCAAAAGGAAGATATACCTTGGTGTGTAAATGCATCTATGAGTATGCATGCATGCATACACACACCCATACCCACACCCACAGCTCCCCATATATACATGTGCAACACAGCCACCCACACATATTGAAGCATCTTTTTAGACACTGTGGGGGATTTAGGGATTATAAACCTCTAGGAAGTAAGAAGCATTCTTCTTTGTTCAACTTCTTGGGAAAGGCTGAACTTGGCTTCAAGCTAGGAAACATCTCTGTGCACATCCCTCCATATTCTTGCCCCTGTTCTTGAAGGCAAATCAGTTCTGCCTGATAACTAAATTCATTTTCTATCTTCATTTGCTTCTGATGTTGCTTTCATCTGTAACCACAAGAGCGGAACAGGATATGATAAACTTACAATGGCCACACAAACCAGTTAGTGAAAAAATATTTGGGAGAGTTGTTGAACAGGGGAGGAGGGAACCCAATACAGATGTATCAGAAAGAAAGTGTATTTTCTTTTCTGGTACCTACCCTCTGCCAGATTTGCAAACTGTAAGTATTCACTTCCTATATTAGTTTCTTGGGACTGTTGTGACAAATTACTACAAACCAGGTAGCCTAAAACAACAACAACAAAAAAATGTATTCTCTTACAGTTTTGGAGGCTAGAAATCAGAAATCAGGATGTAGGCAGGATTAGTTCTTCCTGTGGGCTCTAGAGAACAATTTGTTCCATGCTTCTCTCCCAGCTTATGGCAGTTTTTGGCAATGCTTGGTGTCCCTTGGCTTGTAGACACATCACTCCAGTCTCTGCCTTGGTCTTCATAAGGAAACATCTCTGTGCACATCCCTCCATATTCTTGGCCCTGTTCTTCATGTGGTATTCTCTGCTCTGTGTCTCTGTATGTCTGAATGTCCCTCTTGTAAGGACACGAGTCATTGGTTGAGGGCCAACCCTAATCTAGTATGGCCTCATGTTAGTATTCTGGGTCACAGTACATCTGCAAAGACGCTATTTTCCAATTAGCTCACATGCACAGGCTCCACATGGACATGAAATTGGAGGAAGATCAAATCCACCTCAATACACTTCACATTCTCCCTTCAACATCATATCACTCTTTCATTTTAATCACGTGTAAGTTTTAGGAATAAATTTTAGAGTCAGGCTGGCTAAAATTAGCAGGCCATTCTTAGGAGCAACTGGGACTATAGGATGGTTTAAAACAGAAATGCTGAAGTGGGAAAAGAAAAAAAAAGCTTTGTTTTCTACATTTGTATGGTAGATAGATATGGAGAGTGTTTCAGCCTCATTGTGGGTTAATGAGCTATTATGGGGCCCTAACAAGCATTTATAGCATCATCGTAAGGCAGAGAAGCATCCTAGTTCCAAACACTTGAGTTATTTTAGAATTTCACTTATTTATGAGTTGGCACTACTTATATCTCTACACCAATATTTACAGCTCTTTTACTTTCCACAGTAGCTTACACAGTAGTTATTACTACCATCATCTGTGTTTTTATGGAAGGGAAGGCAGAATGAAAGCAAAAAGCTGAGAGAAAGAGAAGGCTAGGGAAGAAAAGTGAAAATACTCATTACCTCCCACAGTCAAGGTTTCCTGGGGTGGAGATATCTGCCAAGGCCTGTTGCATGGTCTTCGGATTTCAAAGAGTGTATCTTTGTACTTACTGTCTGCACAGCCATGAGGGGATCCTACAGTTAATGACTCTTCTGTCTGACAGTAATTAGGAACTGTGATTAGAAATCGATCAGTTATGTAATCGTCACTGTGAAATATCAGTTATCTTCACTGAGCAGGCCATGTTCCACTCTCTTCACTGCACCGCTTGATTCCCTCTTTGGCCACTTCCTGTGGGGCCCAAGGGATCATCACTGGAAGGGGTTGTGGCTGGAGGGCCTTTGGTCTTGTCCTATGGTGGTGTAGGAAACCTTGGCACAATGAAAGACAACCTGGGGCAAGTCCAAGTCTCGTGTTCATAAGATGCATACAATTGTCTTCTCTTTGTAAGAAAGAACTTTTTGGCAACTAACTAATCTATATGACCAGAGAAGGGGGTTTGTATAACAATAGAAAGAGCTACCATTATGGAATGCCACCAGTTGCTGTGTACTGTGTGAAATGGTTTCTCCTTTCTCATTAATTTTGCAAAAGACTGCTGTGAGATGCTGGAAAGCTATCAGTGTTTTCCCATCCATCTTACAGGCTCTCAAATCACTAAGAAGCAATCCAACCTAAAAGCTCAGGTCTTTCCTTTCTCTAATACTTTTTGTTTTTAATTAGACTGTGGTTTTAGTTAGTGTTCCCAGCCTTTTTGAAACTTGGGAGCCCCTAGGCCAGTGATATCATATTGCTATGTTGCCTGATAGTCCACCCTTAGAAGTGGAGTTTTTTAGATTAAAATCTCTTCTAGCTAATATTGCTAACCCTAAATATACTCAATTCTGTTTCTTTGTTGGAAATGGATAATCGGGTGATTAAACTAGGGGCACAGCACTGAGAATAAAAG